AGTGCTGAACTATGGGATATCCAGAACACTTTTTGAAAACTCGAGTTCTCTAAAAAAACAGAATCAACTGACCATGTCTCGGCAATACCCACATCATCATTTGATAACCCGTACTGCAGAATGGATCGATCATTAGTCTTATTAATCATTCCTTGATTATTCCAGAAAGTACTGTGCACATTTTCAGCCAAATCATAATGATCCAACTCCTGGGAAACCAAATGTATTGAGTTCAGATTATTATTACTTAACTGAGTCTCTGAGTTATTATTTCCCTTATCTTCTACATTCTTCTTAATATCGTCCATCAACCTTGGCATTTTACCGGAGTCAGACCTCTGGTTTCTTATAAAAAATGGTCCAACTGAATAATTTCATTTGTGTATATATCGTAAGTAAACATAACTCCATCCTTAATATAATAGTCATCTCTAACTATGATTTTTTGGCCACTGGACTTCTCCTGTATTATTCTTGTAACCAGTTTTTTCCTTCTAACCCTAGACTGCTTACACAAATCAGCCGTCAAAATAATATTCTCCTTGAACCTTTTAGACATGTTTGACCTTGCTGTCCAGAATCCTCTCAGAACTAAATTTCTCTTAGACCGATGCAAGAGAAATTTTAACTATAGATTTAGTATTATTTCTAGAAAATCTGACTAAACTGGCCAGACTGAAGTCCTTTAAGCCTAATTCGATTTTTATAAATGAGATCTCAGCAGACGGATCATCAGTTAAAAACGGAAAATTAAAAATAACAATGTTGTTTCTAATTTTTTCATTAATCAACTGATCCAATTGAAATTCAACCTTACCTCTCAATAATCCATCATAATTAGCACTTCGTTCCATTTTTTTCACTTTATGAGACACGACAGACAAGTCTTCCCTTAGATCATTATACTTCTTTTTCATTGTACTTAGCTCTTCCTTAATTTCACTCAGGTCCACAGAAAGTTGTGAAAATTTCTCCTGGATTAGGTCATAAACTGTTTTAATAGTGTATTGTGATTCTTCAGAGATCTTTTTGCACACTAACTGATGGAGTAAAATAATCCTTTATTTTTGCATTTCTCACTCCCACCGAGTTATGCTTCAACGGATTTTTATCAAGTAACACAAGTTCCTCCTCTACAACTTCAGTTAAAAGACCTCTTCCAGTTTCTCCAGCATCCCCCTTACGAGGTCTACCACAACCTCTCTTTTGCATATCAACCCTATCCATGTCCGGAGGGGATCTCGACAACGGCCCCGGATTAGATTCAATTCCTGAAATTAATAGCAAACATTTTATTAACTTGGAGCTCATTCTATTCATATCAAATTGAATCTTCCGGTATCCATTCATTGCTCTAGAAAACGTAAGACACCTAAGCAGCACTCCAAAGCTGAAACAAAAATTCACCAGCAGCCTCGAACGCAACACCAACTCCCCCCCCATAATAATAATTATAAATCAGTCACAGTTAGCTCATTGATTGTTATTCCAACAGTAAACTTGGCAATGATCAACAAAAATTATAACATTTTTGTTAAATTTATGAGCTTTGATTCTGAAAGTGGGGCAAGTCCATTTTGTGAAAAAAATAGTTAAAATAGCTAATTTGTATTGCAAATTAACATAAAATTTATGTTTTTTAATCAGTTCACAGTAAATATCTTATAATATCAGTATAAATTTGGGAATAGTAATTTATATCGTCAACAATATTTATTGTGAGTTGATTTTGAAAGTGAGACAAGTCTACTCTAAAGAGAAATATAAAGATATGATGGATTTATTATCCTATGTACCATCCATTCATCATGAATATTTTAAAAATCTTTACTATCTAAACTAAGAAATCTAATTATATTCATGCAACTTATCACTGAATATTTTTCTTATTTTATCCACTTTTTCTTATAAAATTAAATTTAGTTTTTGTTTTATTGTAGCTTTTCGAAAGAAGTATGAAATGTTGAAATAAAATAAATAAGTAAATAAATAAAATATTCAATTTTTTGTTGTTATAACTATATTCCATTCAAAGAAAAATCAACATTTTCAACAACAAATTACTTTTGAAAGTGAGACAAGTCAATTGGCACATACCAAAACCATGATTTTTTTCACCTAACACGAATAACCATTATTGCATATTAAATTTACATGAAATAAGACCAAAAAATATATAAAACAAGTCTATTACTGCTTACAAATATTTTTAAACTCATTCAAATGCAAACCATTAAATATCTAGCAATAACATAAAATGGACTTGCTCCACTTTCAAAATCAATGGCTCATATCATGAATAGTCAAAATTTTCTTGCAACTATGAAAACTCCCACCCAGAAAGTGGGTTTATAAATTTTTTGCCTTGAAATGGAAAGTTTTACCCTGCGAAAAGTATAAGTACTTACTTTTTCATATCTAACAACTTGGGTTTTTTTATTTCTAAATGGTACTTTCTTAATTCTAATAAGTGCCCTCCAGTAGCTGAGTGGATAAAACCACCAAACATTGGTAATTAGTTAGTCATGAGTTCGGGCATGGCCAACAGGCTGGCCATATGGAGTTTTCTGGGTTTACTTCACATTAGTAACATCTAAATAGAGTCCAGCTTTCCATTAAAAGTCTTCCTGAGATGGATCTCCCTCAGCAGATCGCTCATGTGTTGCATAGCCATAGCCAAATAAGCCAAACTAATTCTAATGAGTGATTACTTATTGTGACATTGTCACAATGCCTGGCTGCAATTTTTCATCACAATGTTCTCAATTCTTTTAGTGGTGTCTGGACTTTAGTACTGTTTAGTACTGTTCCTGTTAGCAATAGAGTCTTGCTGGTTATCTATAATAACTAACTTCATTCAGGGGAAAATTTTGAATTGAAGTAATGTTACTTCCAGTCCAAACTGGAAGTACTTATATAGTTAATCTGGGCCTCCTATCCCTAAGCATATTTGGTTTTGACTTCCATCTCTCTAACTCCTTTTTTGACATTAAGGAAGGACAGACAGGTGGATGACAGTGGGAGTTTATAGGTCTACAATTTTTTCAAATTGCAGTCCAATAATTTTTCTATAAACATGATATTTACAAGAACATGCTTCCCACATAGTTTATACAATCTGTTACAAAAATATAAATACTTTATCATCACATAAAAGCAATTATTCTGGCATTTTTACAAGATTTTTTTTATTTATTTAAACAAGTCATATGAAGTCTTTTGGACATTGAGGTTAGCAACTTTGATCACATGTGGGTCCATCACAACCTGCAACAGATAACTTTTCAAATATTAATAGTAGACCAGTATTAATTAGTAGTCATTGACCATCCTTTCTTTCAGAAGGAGGTCAATGACTACTTTTGGTTGAATTACTTTGGCCTCCTTTCACAACACTTCCTTCTGTCTATGGATAAGTGGTATGGTGACATTTGGATAGGAAAATTACATAATATGAGGTTACCAGCAGGTACAAAATGTTTTAAGTGGTTTTTGAGATTGCCAAGTTTAAATATTTGGTTCGTTTTTTCACAAAATTTCATTCATTGGTAGATTACCATTTACTGCCAAATATCAAATGGTACAGTTTCTTAGAGTTAACATTAGGAAAAAATATATCTGAAAAGATTTAAGTTATTGTATTTTCAATTTGTTTCTACTTGACCAATGAAATTGTGCCATTTTGTATCATTTGAGTATTTCAATAAGCATGAGAATTGTAGGCTTATACCCCTACTGTACACAATTTAAAGAACTTTTAAAATATGTCAGATTGAGCACTTGGTGTGATAAACCCTTATGTAAGATAACCTTTGTACTTATATTATAATATTTAATTTACATAAGTACAAAGGTTAGAAGTATGAAATAATCTAATAATAATAATAATAATCTTTGTAGTTATTTTTTGCCCAAGCAATGCTGGGCTCATCTGCTAGTAAATAACTTCAGGTAACAGCTTGTGTCTGTTGAGAACCTCACAGGTTGCTGGATAGGTTTTATAAAGCAAAATTCCTCTAAATGTAGTCCAAATTATTTTTAAAGTGGTCCAAAAAGTAGTAAGTCACCCAAATCTAGCAGCCTTAAACCCTACAAATATCTTAGTCTGTTACATGTAGTCCAATCTTGCAATCCCAAAACACACCCATGTTTTATGAGATAAGAGAAAAAAGGGTATTCCATACGTAAGGTGACACCAGAAAATGTGTTACTGTAAAAGCAAAGCCATATTGACTTGGTTAGAGTTGTTCTTGGTCTGTTGTTCTCTTATGGTATGGAGGCACTTCAATCTAAATGAATGAGTTAACATATTCAGATCAGTTTGGACAGAATTTTCACTTCAAATTTTGAAGTAGCCATATTTCAATCTAACATGTAAATCTCTATATCTCCAGTAGGGACAAATAGTATAGTTATGAATTAATGAGATTTCAAACTATCCGAGTTCAATAAGATGTAATGTTACAATGTAATGTATTCTATTAAACCATTTTTTGACATAAAGTGCAATTAATTTTTTTATTTAAAATTTAATTTATCCATAGAGAATTCAGAAAGTGAACAAGCTGTAAATTTATAAATGGCATTATGATAATTTGTGTCAACAAGTATAAAAGTAATAATGTATTTTTAGATTATGTAAGATCAAAAATTATTTGTGTATCCAAAATTTTACCAATTACATCAAAGCATGTTAAATTAACACACATTTTATTATATTTTACATTGCTAAATATATTTAAATCCTTCAGGTAATATTTTCTTGTAGTTTTTATTTTAGTGACTAAATCATTTCTAGGTTTTATTACTTGGAAGCATAGTATTTATCCTTTATAGATGATAATGATAATGCATTCTATAAATTTGTATTGAATAATATTAAAGCATATCAGTATACAATCAAATAATAAATATAAGAAAATATAGCCTGTTGTTCATATCAATGATAGGATAAGAATATTATATAATAATTACAAATTTTTTTATTTAAATTTTTTTAGGGACTTTCACTCTCACCAGCTAATATTGGTATTGGATTAAATTCCAGTAACAGCTTAGGAGAATTGTTTGATCGTAGAGAACATGATGGACTTATAGAAATTGGAAGTCGTGCGCCTATTGTCCGGAGTCCAATACATAGCCCAGAACATCGGTTTGGTGGTAAATTTTATAGTAATTTATCATGTAAGCTTTGTTTTCTTTTAATTTACATCTTTTCAATTTAAAAATATCCAAAAACTTTCATGCATATAAAAGAAGAGTTATTGTAAATTTGTTAAATCAAAAATGTAATTTAGAAATGTCTAATGAATTAATTTTTAAATTGAAATGGATGATTTTGTTTAATGTGTTAGTATCTTATAGTTGGAGACTAACATATTAAAATTGAATAAATTTAAAACAGAATTTAAAAATGATATATTTCTCTGTTTCAGTGGAAATTTAATTTTCACTGAAACAGAGGAATATATCACTTTTACAAATTTTTTATATTATAATGCAGGTTGTTCAAACATAATGTTTATTTGAAAAGAGTAGGTTTGGTGATTCTGGCAAAGAATTTCAAATATTATACCTTAAATCCAGTGGTACACCCAGGGGATGGGCCAAGGGGCCCTGACACTCCGAAAGTAAAAGGAAAAGAACAGTAGTAAATTTTTCAAAAATATTTTCCTAATTAAAATTCATTATTTATTTATTTATATCATATGTCATATTTCTATATTACTTATGAATTAGCGGCCACATAAGATGGGAATTTTATTGAATTTGCATTAAAAATTTTTTATCTGTTCAATCAACATTTCCAAAGATTAATAAATCTTGAGTGCACTACTTAAGTTCATAATAAATAAATCTTCAAGAATTTAAATGTTTCTTGTGACATGTAACAGGACATAGTTTACATGGAGTGGACTTAAAACAGTAACTAAACTTTTCATTTGATCATCCTGCATTTGTAGCAGTAAGTATGTAACTTAGCTAAAGTAGTGATTTGGAATAGTAACTATTCTGTTTGTAGGAATTTCTCGTAAGAATCTGAAGTAATGAATACTTTTCAAAAATATTTATTACTTGTTATTTTTTGGAATTAATTAATATAAATTTATGTTGATTATCATTTATCATTGTATATATTCTAAAATTTAACAATTCAAAAAATATATTAGGGGCAGTCAAATGAAAACGACACAGATGGGAAAAAAGTAAGTAAACTGTTTATTATTTCAAAAGTAATTGCCATAACTGTTAATACATTTATCCCACTGTGAGACAAGACAGTCAATGCCTTCATAGAAAAATGTTTGCAGTTGCCTATGGAACCATGATTGTACCCAGGCGTGCACCTTTTCGTCCAAAGCAAATTGACGGCCACAAATGTCTTTCTTTGGGGCTCCAAAAATATGGAAATCGCTTGGGGAGAAATTGGGACTGTATGGAGGATGTGTAAGGATCACAAATGTCTTTCTTCGGAAAGACATTTGTGGCCGTCAATTTGCTTTGGACGAAAAGGTGCACGCCTGGGTACAATCATGGTTCCATAGGCAACTGTAGTCAAAACAATCTTGGTAACATGTGGGTGGGCATTATCCTGCAACAGAATGATGCTGTCTGTCAACATTCCTGGGTGTTTGGATTTGATGGCACGCTTCAATTTTTGCAAAGTTTCTATGTACCAGTGTGTGTTAATTGTAGTGCCATGTTCCAGAAAGTCAACGAGCAGCGGACCTCCATAGTGATGGTGGACGCACACACGACTTGCCAACCTCACTTCGAGCACGTCTAACAGACAAATGGCACAGCATTTGAACGTTCATGCTGTTCCTTCCTGATTCTCAATAGAGGACACTTCTATATACACACTTGCATTACCAACTTCCGTGCCACACTTGTTATATAGTCTGTCTCGTTTTCATTTGACTGCCCCTAATACATGGTTCCTAGGCACCTGGAAAGTCAGGGATTTTTGTTAGCATTTCAGAAAAGTCGAGAAATTTGTCGAAAATTCAGAGAATTTGCCTCCTTGGCTGCCATGTTGATTTTGTTTGCTGCTGATATGGTTAACCAAGTGTATACAGCAATAAGTAATGTGGTACAAGGTGACCAATACAGTGAAATGGGATTATGCTACATAATGATGCGCAACTTTGTTGTTTGATTCACACTAAACTGCAAGGCCATGAAGAGCAGTATTGGACATTTATAAAAAAAAAAACACCTGTAATGAAGAAAAAATATGCATAGGAATTTTTTGACTTTAGAACAAATCTTCATAAAACTCAAAATTTTAGTTAAGAACAAGCTTCAAGTAACAAACACCAAAAAATGCTTTAAAATGGAAAATTCCAGATTTGTCAATAGAATTCTTGTGTTATTAAAACTATTTTCCCACCGTGGCCATTTGTCTAACTTCTAAAGTGCCTATTTGTGCTATTTAAAAATTAAAATTATCATGAGAATGGAGGCCTAACCACATAACTCTATTCAAATTACTTCATATATCTAATTAAGTTCAGGAATCTGTGGTGCTGCACTACTTTTAATGCAGGTCCTATTGTAGGGAACCATAAACAAACATCAGTAAATGATCTCTGTATCCATTTAAACCAAATTTTTAATCTCCATTTTGCACCTTTTTCCCTCCTTTTCACCATTTTCCTCAATTAGCATCATTTTCTGTCTTTTCCAAGCTTTTGCACAAAATTATAAATGAAATTCATTAATTAGGTTTCTGTTACTTGTTTTTTGTAGACTTTTTAAAGATTAAAGCCATTAGCTTTTAATTCTTTTGAAATTCTTTAAGTTTGATTCCAGTATTGACAGTTAAATAATTTGATTTTCCCACCCATTTAATGTTCAGAAATTAAATTATGTTTTCAATTGGCAGATAAATTTTAACTGAAAACAGTTTAAGTTTGAATTCAAAAATTACTCCATTCCAAAATTTTAAACTTCTTGCTTTTTTAACAAAGTTTTGTGCCTTTTTATCATATTGTAAGTATATATATACTGTATTGGCCCAGATATGATGGAAGTAAGGTAACTTGTCAGCCCATTTGCTTTTTTTAGGTTGGCAATTCTGGTGTTGAGACAATTAAGTAATAGTTTTTCCCATAGAAGAAAACAGTCATTGGGATATAAAGTTTCAATTCCAACGCTTTTCACATGTCACATGAAAAAAGTGTTGGAATTGGTTAAACAGTGATTTCAGTCTTAAATCTGAATATAAATAAATATCAGCTGATTGTCCAAGTGGTCATTTGGGAGAAGTATATGTGGATCTTCATGTTGAAAGCAGTGATTAACAAGGAAGTTATTTAATGTGCAAACTACTGTCAGTCACTGTTGAACTTGCTGTCTCTCAGGACTAGAGCTGCCAGATTCACATGTTTCATGTCAGTTAGCTATTTTAGCTGTGAATTGCACCTTATTTCTTGGGGTTGTAGATTGTGCATTTTTGGTCTGATTTTCATCTTGTTTACATTTTAAACTTAATTTCAAATCATAACTTAAATACCTGCATCTGCAGCCCAATTTGGCAACACTGGTTTTCAACACAAGATGTCACTGTCTAGTAATTGATTTTTCTTGTAAAAATTTGGAGGTACTGGAAATGTTGGATAATAAATGGAGAGGGATATTCAAGTTTGTTAGCAAGTCATATAAGGAGGGGGATCCAAAACTTTCCCTAAAAATGCATTATGTAATTTAGGGACAGCCCATAAGTTCTTCTCATTCTTTGATTTTTGCAAAAGTTTTGAGAAAATCAAAGAATTTGTTCTGCATGTAGAAGATTGATTCTTCTGCAGTTGATCAAATTAAGAACTTACTTTTGGATACTAGTGTTAAGGAAGAGTTGTCTATTGTATACTTATACAAATTTGTTGTTGATTCAATCATGAAAATTAGAAAGGAAGCATCTTCAAAAAGAAAAGCAGTGGGAACTGTTTTCTTCAGTAAAAGATAAGTTAGATGGCTTTGCCAAGCAGAAACTTAAGAAGTCTTGCTAGAATCCAGACATAAAGAAGATTGTGGAATGCAACAATTTAGAATTTCAAGTCAAACCAACTATTTGTCACTATCATCTGTGAATGTTGATCTTTTTCTGCAAAGATATCCTTTCATGTAAATGCAGAAAATTTAATTTGAAAATTTGGGAATGATTACCATTATCAAAGTTAATTCATTTTTTTTTTTTGACAAGTGATTGTGATTCAAGCAACAATATGTAAGTATAGTATAAAAAAGAATGATCTGTGAAAAATATACCCTGCAATTTAAATAAAAATTTTTACTCAAGATATATAAATAAATATATTATATTATGAATGAGTTCCTTTTTAATTTTGATTGTTGATACTACAACCTTCCTTTTAAGATTCTATAGTTAATAAGTAAAAGTTATATTGAGTTGAACAGAAAGTTTTTGCCTATTTTTAACAGCTGTTGTTACTTAACAAGTTGTGTGATTTAATTGTAAGTCCTGAAATTTAACACATTATTGCTAATTAGAGATTGTATTCTTTGTTTAGAAGCTTATTTTAAACTTTTTACTTCATATTTTGTTTGAATAAAATCCAGTTGAAATGTCTTCAGAAAAAAAAGCATATCAGGCATGCTACTCTTTATGAATTTCAGAAAGGATACAATGCCATACAAATAGTAAATAAGGTTTGTAATGTGTGGGAGAAGATGCTCCTAAGCTTTTAATATGCAAATGTGGTTTATAAAGTTCTGTTCGGGAAATTTTGAACTAACGGATAAACAATATATGGTCCATGCACCTGAGATATTTATTTCATTTTTGAAATTGATGCAAACTTCCTTTGTTTTCCAGCTTTGAAAATTTCAAGAGCTTCTAGAACCTTCATATGGTCAGGATGTTGGGAGCTTCTGATGAGGGTGTATTATTATAGGTTAGCTAATATCAGAAGCTCCCAACATCCTGTGCTAAATTTATTTTAGTAATTGTTTATTAAAACAATTTCAAGTTTTTGTTTTTTTCATTGAAAAAAAAACAAATATTAAATACTAAATCCTAATAAGTGTTGGAATTTGTCAATAAACATGTTAGCTAGGTTGGGTGGTAACACTAATCTGGATGATCTCTGCATGTTGATTCCTGGGGTTCCCATTCATAGGATTTTAATGGAAAAATTGCAATATCGAAAGGTGTGCACAAG